GAGATCCACTGGGCGCCGTCCGTTTGATGGCGCTACGGTTCCCACACAACAAAGCGATTTGTTCGCAAGCCAAGCGCCTGGTTTTTCCCTCCAAGGCTGGGAACTGAAGCGCCGGGTGCGAGAGATCCGCTGGGTGCGAGAGATCCACTGGGTGCCGTCCGCCTGGGGACTGAAGCGCGCCGGGTGCGAGAGATCCATTATGCGCTACAACTCCCAGGCAATCAAGCTATTTATTCCCTGGGAACTGAAGCGCAGGGTGCGAGAGATCTGCTGGGTGCTAGAGATCCACTGGGCGCCGTCCGTTTGGCGGTGCTACGGTTCCCACACAATAAAGCTATTTGTTTGCAAGTCAATTGCCTTGGTTTTTTCCTCCAAGGCTGGGAACTGAAGCGCCGGGTGCGAGAGATCCACTGGGTGCGAGAGATCCACTGGGCGCCGTCCTTTTGGGGGCGCTATAATTCCCACGCAATAAAAAGATTTCTTCACAAGCAAATCACCTGGGTTCTTTTCCTCAAGGTCGGGAACTGAAGCGCTGGGTGCAAGAGATCCGCTGGGTCTATCTGTTTATGGACGCTACAGTTCCCAGGCAATAAATCTGGAGAGATCCACTGGGTGACGTCTGTTTGGGGACGCTATAATTCCCACACAATAAAGCAAGAAAGCGCCTGACTTTTTCCCTCAAGGTCGGGAACTGAAGTGCCGGGTGTGAGAGATCCACTGGGTGCAAGAGATCCGCTGGGTCTGTCTGTTTATGGATGCTACAGTTCCCACACAACAAATCTAGAGTGATCCACTGGGTGACGTCTGGGGGCGCTACGGTTCCCACACAACAAATCTAGAGAGATCTACTGGGTGACGTCTGTTTGGGGGTGCTACGGTTCCCACGCAATAAATCTAGAGAGATCCACTGGGTGACGTCTGTTTGGGGGCGCTACGGCTCCCACGCAATAAATCTAGAGAGATCCACTGGGTGACGTCTGTTTGGGGGTGCTACGGTTCCCACACAATAAATCTAGAGAGATCCACTGGGCGCCATCCTTTTGGGGACGCTATAATTCCCACACCATAAAAAGATTTCTTCGCAAGCCAAGCGCCTGGGTTCTTTTCCTCAAGGCTGGGAACTGAAGCGCCGGGTGCGAGAGATCCACCGGGTGCGAGAGATCCACTGGGTGCTGTCGGTTTGGTGGCGCTACAGTTCCCACACAAGAAAGCTCTTGGCTTGCAGGAAAGCGCCTAAGTTTTTCCCTCAAGGTCGGGAACTGAAGCGCCGGGTGCGAGAGATCCACTGGGTGCAAGAGATCCGCTGGGTCTGTCTGTTTATGGATGCTACAGTTCCCACGCAATAAATCTGGAGAGATCCACTGGGCGCCGTCTGTTTGGGGACGCTATAATTCCCACACAATAAAGCAAGAAAGCGCCTGGTTTTTCCCTCAAGGTCGGGAACTGAAGCGCCGGCTGCGAGAGATCCACTGGGTGCAAGAGATCCGCTGGGTCTGTCTGTTTATGGATGCTACAGTTCCCACACAATAAATCTAGAGAGATCCACTGGGTGACGTCTGTTTGGGGACGCTATAATTCCCACACAATAAAGCAAGAAAGCGCCTAAGTTTCCCCCTCAAGTTCGGGAACTGAAGCGCCGGGTGCGAGAGATCCACTGGGTGCAAGAGATCCGCTGGGTCTGTCTGTTTATGGATGCTACAGTTCCCACACAACAAATCTAGAGAGATCTACTGGGTGACGCCTGTTTGGGGGCACTATAGTTCCCACACAACAAATCTAGAGTGATCCACTGGGTGACGTCTGTTTGGGGGCGCTACAGTTCCCACACAATAAATCTAGAGAGATCCACTGGGTGGCGTCTGTTTGGGGGCGCTACAGTTCCCACACAATAAATCTAGAGAGATCCACTGGCTGACCTCTGTTTGGGGGCGCTACGGTTCCCACACAATAAATCTAGAGAGATCCACTGGCTGACCTCTGTTTGGGGGCGCTACGGTTCCCACACAATAAATCTAGAGAGATCCACTGGGTGACGTCTGGGGTGCTACGGTTCCCACACAATAAATCTAAAGAGATCCACTGGGTGGCGTCTGTTTGGGGGCGCTACAGTTCCCACGCAATAAATCTAGAGAGATCTACTGGGTGCCGTCTGTTTGGGGCGCTACGGTTCCCACACAATAAATCTAGAGAGATCTACTGGGTGACGTCTGTTTGGGGGCGCTACAGTTCCCACACAATAAATCTAGAGAGATCTACTGGGTGACGTCTGTTTGGGGGCGCTACGGTTCCCACACAAGAAATCTAGAGAGATCCACTGGGTGACGTCTGTTTGGGGGCGCTACGGTTCCCACACAAGAAATCTAGAGAGATCCACTGGGTGACGTCTGTTTGGGGGCGCTACGGTTCCCACACAATAAATCTAGAGAGATCCACTGGGCGCCGTCCTTTTGGGGACGCTATAATTCCCACGCCATAAAAAGATCTGTTCGCAAGCGAATCGCCTGGGTTCTTTTCCTCAAGGCTGGGAACTGAAGCGCCGGGTGCGAGAGATCCACTGGGTGGAAGAGATCCACTGGGTGCCATCCGCCTGGGGACGCTACAGTTCCCACACAATAAAGCTATTTATTCGCAAGCAAAGCGCCTGGTGCGAGAGATCCACTGGGTGCTTTCTGTTTATGGATGCTACAGTTCCCACACAATAAATCCGGAGAGATCCACTGGGCGCCGTCCTTTTGGGGACGCTATAATTCCCACACAATAAAAGATTTGTTCCCAAGCGAATCGCCTGGGTTCTTTTCCTCACGGCTGGGAACCAAGCGCCGGGTGCGAGAGATCCACTGGGTGGAAGAGATCCACTGGGTGCCATCCGCCTGGGGACGCTACAGTTCCCACACGATAAAGCTATTTATTCGCAAGCAAAGCGCCTGGTGCGAGAGATCCACTGGGTGCTTTCTGTTTATGGATGCTACAGTTCCCACACAATAAATCTGGAGAGATCTACTGGGCGCCGTCCTTTTGGGGACGCTATAATTCCCACGCCATAAAAAGATTTGTTCCCAAGCGAATCGCCTGGGTTCTTTTCCTCACGGCTGGGAACCAAGCGCCGGGTGCGAGAGATCCACTGGGTGGAAGAGATCCACTGGGTGCCATCCGCCTGGGGACGCTACAGTTCCCACACAATAAAGCTATTTATTCGCAAGCAAAGCGCCTGGTGCGAGAGATCCACTGGGTGCTTTCTGTTTATGGATGCTACAGTTCCCACACAATAAATCCGGAGAGATCCACTGGGCGCCGTCCTTTTGGGGACGCTATAATTCCCACGCCATAAAAAGATCTGTTCGCAAGCAAATCGCCTGGGTTCTTTTCCTCAAGGCTGGGAACCAAGCGCCAGGTGCGAGAGATCCACTGGGTAGAAGAGATCCACTGGGCGCCGTCCTTTTGGGGACGCTATAATTCCCACGCCATAAAAAGATCTGTTCGCAAGCAAATCGCCTGGGTTCTTTTCCTCAAGGCTGGGAACTGAAGCGCCAGGTGCGAGAGATCCACTGGGTGGAAGAGATCCACTGGGCGCCGTCCTTTTGGGGACGCTATAATTCCCACGCCATAAAAAGATCTGTTCCCAAGCGAATCGCCTGGGTTCTTTTCCTCAAGGCTGGGAACCAAGCGCCGGGTGCGAGAGATCCACTGGGTGCGAGAGATCCACTGGGTGTGGTCGGTCCGGGGCGCCAATGGGTGCGCTACAGTTCCCAGGCGAGAAAGCAGTTGATTTGGTCCAAAGCGTCCGGGGAGAAGAAGGGAAAGGGAGGGAGGCGGGAAAAGAAGGAAGAAAGATTATTGTAATAATATTAATAATAATAATTGTTATTATTATTATTATTATTATTATTATTATTATTATATTATATAACAAGATATGGATATGCAGATACAAGTTGTAGTAGCAATAATAATAATAATAATAATAATAATAATATAGATATAGATATGCAGATAAGTAGATTACAAGTAATAATAATAATATAATATGCAGATAGGTAGATTACAAGTTGTAGTAATAATAATAATAATATAATATGCAGATAGGTAGATTACAAGTTGTTGTAGTAATAATAATAATATAATATGCAGATAGGTAGATTACAAGTTGTTGTAGTAATAATAATAATATAATATGCAGATAGGTAGATTACAAGTTGTAGTAATAATAATAATAATATAATATGCAGATAGGTAGATTACAAGTTATAATAATAATAATAATAATAATAATAATATAACAAGATATAGATATGCAGATAGATTACAAGTTGTAGTAGCAATAATAATAATAATATAGATATGCAGATAAGTAGATTACAAGTTGTAATAATAATAATATAGTATGCAGATAGGTAGATTACAAGTTGTAATAATAATAATAATAATAATATAGTATGCAGATAGGTAGATTACAAGTTGTAGTAACAATAATAATAATAATAATAATAATAATAATAATAATACAAGATATAGATATGCAGATAGATTACAAGTTGTAGCAATAATAATAATAATGATATAGATATGCAGATAAGTAGGTTACAAGTTGTAATAATAATAATATGATATGCAGATAGGTAAATTACAAGTTGTAGTAATAATAATAATATAGATATGCAGATAGGTAGATTACAGGTTGTAGTAGTAATAATAATAATAATAATAATAATAAAGATATGCAGATAATAATGCTGAAATCCACCTAGGTACATTGCAAGTAATTAATAATAATAATAATAATAATAATAATAATAATAAAGATATGCAGATAATAATGCTGAAATCCACCTAGCTACATTGCAAGTAATTAATATCAATAATAATAATAATAATAATAATATCCCAATAAATAGATTAGAAGTTGGCAGGCCCCGCCCCCTGCTTGCGACATCACGGGATTCCCCTGGCGACACCACGCCCCTTGTGACATCACAGCCCGGCCTTGTGACATCACGGATTCCCCCGCTCCGGCAGGAAAAGGGATTCCCAGCCATGTTGCTCCTGCTCCTGCCTCCCCTCTTCCTATTGGCTCCGGCCGGTAAATCTCCCAAAAACTCACCTTTGGGGAATGTTGGGAAGAGTCGAACCCGCCGCCCGTCTCAAACTTCCGGCTTTTTCCGCAGCCCGGCCCCCGCCCCCGCCGGATCTGGACCCCTTCTCGGCCTCGGAGGAAGCGGACGAGATGGACCCGGCCGCCGGAGGAGAGGACCCCGAAGAGAACTGGGGCGGGGAGAAGGTGCGTGGGGAAATGTCCAGGAAGTTTCCTGTCCGTTCCCAGGGAGTTTCCTGCCTATTTCCTGTCCGTTTCCAGGACGTATCCTGCCTATTTCTTGTCTGTTTCCAGGACGTTTCCTGTCTGTTTCTTGTCTATTTCCAGGCAGTTTCCTGTCTATTTCCTGTCTATTTCCTGCCTATTTCCTGTCTATTTCCAGGACGTTTCCTGCCTATTTCTTGTCTAGTTCCAGGACGTTTCCTGCCTCTTTCTCGTCTATTTCCAGGGAGTTTCCTGTCTGTTTCCAGGGAGTTTCCTGCCTATTTCCTGCCTATTCCCAGGGAGTTTCCTCTCTGTTTCCAGGCAGTTTCCTGTCTATTTCCAATGAGCTTCCTGTCTATTTCCTGTCTATTTCCAGGGAGTTTCCTGTCTATTTACAAGGAGCTTCCTGTCTATTTCCATTCTATTTCCTGTCTATTTCCAGGACGTTTCCTGCCTATTTCCTGTCTATTTCCAATGAGTTTCCTGTCTGTTTCCAGGACTTTTCCTGCCTATTTCCTGTCTATTTCCAGGACGTTTCCTGCCTATTTCCTGTCTAGTTCCAGGACGTTTCCTGCCTCTTTCTTGTCTATTTCCAGGGAGTTTCCTGTCTGTTTCCAGGGAGTTTCCTGCCTATTTCCTGTCTATTTCCAGGGAGTTTCCTGTATATTTCTTGTCTATTTCCAGGGAGTTTCCTGTCTGTTTCCAGGAAGTCTCTTGTCTGTTTCCTGTCTATTTCCAGGGAGTTTCCTGTATATTTCCTGCCTATTTCTAGGGAGTTTCTTGTCAGCAGCTCAGGGAGTTTCCTGTCTATTTCCTGTCTATTTCCAGGGAGTTTCCTGTCTACTTCCAGGGAGTTTCCAGTCTATTTCCTGTTTATTTCCGGGGAGTTTCCTGTCTATTTCCACGGTTTCAAGCCTATTCCCTGTCTATTTCCAGGGAGTTTCCTGTTTATTTCCTGACTATTTCCAGGGAGTTTCCTGTCTGTTTCCAGGAAGTCTCTGGTCTGTTTCCTGTCTATTTCCAGGGAGTTTCCTGCCTATTTCCTGTCTATTTCCAGGACGTTTCCTGCCTATTTCTTGTCTATTTCCAGGGAGGTTCCTGTCTGTTTCCAGGGAGTTTCCTGCCTATTTCCTGTCTATTTCCAGGAGGTTTCCTGCCTATTTCTTGTCTATTTCCAGGGAGTTTCCTGTCCCTTTCCAGGGAGTTTCCTGCCTATTTCCTGTCTATTTCCAGGACGTTTCCTGCCTCTTTCTTGTCTATTTCCAGGGAGTTTCCTGTCTGTTTCCAGGGAGTTTCCTGCCTATTTACTGTCTATTTCCAGGATGTTTCCTGCCTATTTCTTGTCTGTTTCCAGGGAGTTTCCTGTCTGTTTCCATGGAGTTTCCTGCCTATTTCCTGTCTATTTCCAGGACGTTTCCTGCCTATTTCTTGTCTATTTCCAGGGAGTTTCCTGTCTGTTTCCAGGGAGTTTCCTACCTATTTCCTGCCTATTTCCAGGACGTTTCCTGCCTATTTCTTGTCTATTTCCAGGGAGTTTCCTGTCTGTTTCCAGGGAGTTTCCTGCCTCTTTCCTATCTATTTCCAGGACGTTTCCTGCCTATTTCTTGTCTATTTCCGGGGAGTTTCCTGTTTCCAGGAAGTCTCTGGTCTGTTTCCTGTCTATTTCCAGGAAGTTTCCTGTATATTTCCTGCCTATTTGAGGGAGTTTCCTGTCAGTTTCCTGTCCATTTCCACGCAGTTTCCTGCCTATTTCCTATTTCCAGGACGTTTCCTGCCTATTTCTTGTCTATTTCCGGGGAGTTTCCTGTCTGTTTCCAGGAAGTCTCTGGTCTGTTTCCTGTCTATTTCCAGGGAGTTTCCTGTATATTTCCTGCCTATTTCCAGGGAGTTTCCTGTCAATTTCCTGTCTATTTCCAGGCAGTTTCCTGCCTATTCCCTGTCTATTTCCAGGACGTTTCCTGCCTATTTCTTGTCTATTTCCAGGTAGTTTCCTGTCTGTTTCCAGGGAGTTTCCTGTTTATTTCCTGACTATTTCCAGGGAGCTTCCTGTCTCTTTCCAGGGAATTTCCTGTTTATTTCCTGACTATTTCCAGGCAGTTTCTTGTCTATTTCCAGGGAGTTTCCTGTCTATTTCCTGTCTATTTCCAGGGAGTTTCCTGTCTCTTTCCAGGGAGTTTCCTGTCTATTTCCTGTCTACTTCCAGGGAGTTTCCAGTCTATTTCTTGTCTATTTCCGGGGAGTTTCCTGTCTATTTTCAGGAAGTTTCCTGCCTATTTCCTGCCTATTTCCAGGCAGTTTCCTGTCTGTTTCCTGTCTACTTCCAGGTAGTTTCCTGCCTATTTCTTGTCTATTTCCAGGGAGTTTCCTGTTTATTTCCTGTCTATTTCCAGGGAGTTTCCTGTCTATTTCCAGGGAGTTTCCTGTCTATCTCCAGGAAGTTTCCTGCCTATTTCCTGTCTATTTCCTGTCTATTTCCTGTCTATTTCCAGGGCATTTCCTGTCTATTTCCAGGGAGTTTCCTGTCTCTTTCCTGTCTATTTCCAGGGGTTTCCTGTCTATTTCCAGGGCGTTTCCTGTCTATTTCCAGGGAGTTTCCTGTCTATTTCCTGTCTATTTCCAGGGGTTTCCTGTCTATTTCCTGTCTATTTCCAGGGGGTTGCTACCTTTCTGCTTGCGGGAAATAGACAGGAAACTCCCTGGAAATAGGCAGGAAATAGGCAGGAAATAGGAAATAGACAGGAAATAAACAGGAAACGCCCTGGAAATAGACAGGAAACTCCCTGGAAATTGACAGGAAATAAACAGGAAACTCCCTGGAAATAGACAGGAAACTCCCTGGGAATAGACTGGAAATTCCCAGGAAATAGACAGGAAACTTCCTGGAAATAGGCAGGAAATAGGCAGGAAACTACCTGGAAATAGACAGGAAACTCCCTGGAAATAGGCAGGAAACTCCCTGGAAACAGACAGGAAACTCCCTGGAAACAGACAGGAAACTCCCTGGAAATAGACAGGAAAGAGACAGGAAACTCCCTGGAAAGAGACAGGAAACTGCCTGGAAATAGTCGGGAAATAAACAGGAAACTCCCTGGAAATAGACAGGAAAGAGACAGGAAACTCCCTGGAAAGGTTCCCACACCAAGGTTCCCGCGCTAAGGTTCCCGTCTTTCCTTTCTGCTTCCAGGCGCTGCTGGACTTCCCGCCCCGCGGAACGCGGCGCCGGCGCCAGGCGGCCTTCCTCGAACCCGCGCCGCACGCCCGGGTGAGTCTCCCTTCCCTCGGGGCGCCGGGCGCGGAACCGGGCGCGGAGCGCGCTATAACTCCCCTCTCTGTCGCCCGCAGTACGTCGAAGACGCCAGAATCCCCATCCAGCACCGGCAGGTCGCTCTGCAAAGTAAGGCGCCGGCGCCGGGTGCGAAAGGCGGGGAAGGTTGCGGGTTCGAGGCGTGAAGCGGGAACCGTAGCGCGGGAACCGTAGCGCCGAATCGGACGGGGATCCTGGGGAAGGTGGCGGGTTCGAGTCTGGAAGCGGGAACCGTAGCGCGGGAACCGTAGCGCCGAATCGGACGGGGATCCTGGGGAAGGTGGCGGGTTCGAGTCTGGAAGCGGGAACCGTAGCGCGGGAACCGTAGCGCCGAATCGGACGGGGATCCTGGGGAAGGTGGCGGGTTCGAGTCTGGAAGTGGGAACCGTAGCGCGGAATCGGACGGGGATCCTGGGGAAGGTTGCGGGTTCGAGTAAGGCGCCGGCACCGGGTGCGAAAGGCGGGGAATGTTGCGGGTTCGAGTCTGGAAGCGGGAACCGTAGCGCGGAATCAGACGGGGATCCTGGGGAAGGTTGCGGGTTCGAGTAAGGCGCCGGCACCGGGTGCGAAAGGCGGGGAAGGTTGCGGGTTCGAGTCTTAAGGCGGGAACCGTAGCGCGGAATCGGACGGGGATCCTGGGGAAGGTTGCGGGTTCGAGTCTGGAAGCGGGAACCGTAGCGCGGGAACCGTAGCGCCGAATCGGACGGGGATCCTGGGGAAGGTTGCGGGTTCGAGTCTGGAAGCGGGAACCGTAGCGCGGGAACCGTAGCGCGGAATCGGACGGGGATCCTGGGGAAGGTTGCGGGTTCGAGTCTGGAAGCGGGAAGCGTAGCGCGGGAACCGTAGCGCCGAATCGGACGGGGATCCTGGGGAAGGTGGCGGGTTCGAGTCTGGAAGCGGGAACCGTAGCGCGGGAACCGTAGCGCCGAATCGGACGGGGATCCTGGGGAAGGTTGCGGGTTCAAGTAAGTCGCCAGCACCGGGTGCGAAAGGCGGGGAAGGTTGCGGGTTCGAGGCGTGAAGCGGGAACCATAGCGCGGGAACCGTAGCGCGGAATCGGACGGGGATCCTGGGGAAGGTGGCGGGTTCGAGTCTGGAAGCGGGAACCGTAGCGCGGGAACCGTAGCACCGAATCAGACGGGGATCCTGGGGAAGGTTGCGGGTTCGAGTCTGGAAGCGGGAACCGTAGCGCGGGAACCGTAGCGCCGAATCGGACGGGGATCCTGGGGAAGGTTGCGGGTTCGAGTAAGGCGCCAGCACCGGGTGCGAAAGGCGGGGAAGGTTGCGGGTTCGAGTCTTGAGGCGGGAACCGTAGCGCGGGAAGCGGGTTCGAGTCACAGGACCCAGATTCGGGTCCGGGGTTCGGGTTTCGGGTCCCGGGTTCGAGTTTTGGAATCGGACGGGGATCCTGGGGAAGGTTGCGGGTTCGAGTCTCCCGCCCGGCGGGAAGCTTAGCGCGGGAACCGTAGCGCGGGAAGCGGGTTCGAGTCACAGGACCCAGATTCGGGTCCCGGGTTCAAGTTTCGGGTCTTGGGTCCCACATAGGCTTCTCCCTGGGGAAGGTTGCGGGTTCGAGTCCCCTCTGCTTGGGAATCGTAGCGCAGGAACCGGGTTCGAGCTTCCAGTCCTGGGTTCGGGTTTTGGGTCCCGGGTTCGAGTTTCAGGTTCTGGGTTGGAATTTCGGGTTTGAGTTTTGAGTCCCGGGTTTGAGTTTCAGCTTCAGGTCCCGGGTTTGAGTTTCAAGTCCTGGGTTTGAGTTTTGAGTCCCGGGTTTGAGTTTCAGCTTCAGGTCCCGGGTTCGAGATTCCATTCCCGGGTTCGGGTTTTGGGTCCCGGGTTCGAGTTTCAGGTTCAGGTCCCAATGGGCGATCCTTGGGAAGGTTGCGGGTTCGAGTAAGGCGCCAGCACCGGGTGCGAAAGGCGGGGAAGGTTGCGGGTTCGAGTGTGGAAGTGGGAACGGTAGCGCCGAATCGGACGGGGATCCTGGGGAAGGTGGCGGGTTCGAGTCTGGAAGCGGGAACCGTAGCGCGGGAACCGTAGCGCGGAATCGGACGGGGATCCTGGGGAAGGTTGCGGGTTCGAGTAAGGCGCCAGCACCGGGTGCGAAAGGCGGGGAAGGTTGCGGGTTCGAGTCTTGAAGTGGGAACCGTAGCGCGGGAAGCGGGTTTGAGTCACAGGACCCAGATTCGGGTCCGGGGTTCGGGTTTCGGGTCCCGGGTTCGAGTGTTGGAATCGGACGGGGATCCTGGGGAAGGTTGCGGGTTCGAGTCTCCCGCCCGGCGGGAAGCTTAGCATGGGAACCTTAGCGCGGGAAGCGGGTTCGAGTCACAGGACCCAGATTCGGGTCCCGGGTTCAAGTTTCGGGTCTTGGGTCCCACATAGGCTTCTCCCTGGGGAAGGTTGCGGGTTCGAGTCCCCCTCTGCTTGGGAATCGTAGCGCGGGAAGCGGGTTCGAGTCACAGGACCCAGATTCGGGTCCGGGGTTCGAGTTTTGGAATCGGACGGGGATACTGGGGAAGGTTGCGGGTTCGAGTAAGGCGCCAGCACCGGGTGCGAAAGGCGGGGAAGGGGGCGGGTTCGAGGCGTGAAGCGGGAAGCGTAGCGCGGAATCGGACGGGGATCCTGGGGAAGGTTGCGGGTTCGAGTCTGGAAGTGGGAACCGTAGCGCGGAATCGGACGGGGATCCTGGGGAAGGTTGCGGGTTCGAGTAAGGCGCCAGCACCGGGTGCGAAAGGCGGGGAAGGTTGCGGGTTCGAGTCTTGAGGCGGGAACCGTAGCGCGGAATCGGACGGGGATCCTGGGGAAGGTTGCGGGTTCGAGTAAGGCGCCAGCACCGGGTGCGAGAGGCGGGGAAGGGGGCGGGTTCGAGTCTTCAAGTGGGAACCGTAGCGCGGGAAGCGGGTTCGAGTCACAGGACCCAGATTCGGGTCCGGGGTTCGAGTTTCGGGTCCCGGGTTCGAGTGTTGGAATCGGACGGGGATCCTGGGGAAGGTTGCGGGTTCGAGTAAGGCGCCGGCCCCGGGTGCGAAGGCGAGGGAAGGTTGCGGGTTCGAGGCGTGAAGCGGGAACCGTAGCGCGGGAACCGTAGCGCGGAATCGGACGGGATCCTGGGGAAGGTGTCGGGTCCGAGTCTGGACGCGGGAACCGTAGCGCGGGAACCGTAGCGCGGAATCGGACGGGGATCCTGGGGAAGGTGGCGGGTTCGAGTAAGGCGCCAGCACCGGGTGCGAAAGGCGGGGAAGGTTGCGGGTTCGAGTCTTGAGGCGGGAACCGTAGCGCGGAATCGGACGGGGATCCTGGGGAAGGTGGCGGGTTCGAGTCTGGAAGCGGGAACCGTAGCGCGGGAACCGTAGCGTGGAATCGGACGGGGATCCTGGGGAAGGTGGCGGGTTCGAGTCTTAAGGCGGGAACCGTAGCGCGGAATCGGACAGGGATCCTGGGGAAGGTTGCGGGTTCGAGTCTGGAAGCGGGAACCGTAGCGCGGGAACCGTAGCGCGGAATCGGACGGGGATCCTGGGGAAGGTGGCGGGTTCGAGTCTTAAGGCGGGAACCGTAGCGCGGAATCGGACAGGGATCCTGGGGAAGGTTGCGGGTTCGAGTCTGGAAGCGGGAACCGTAGCGCGGGAACCGTAGCGCGGAATCGGACGGGGATCCTGGGGAAGGTTGCGGGTTCGAGTCTGGAAGCGGGAACCTTAGCGCGGGAACCGTAGTGCGGGAAGCGGGTTCGAGTCACAGGACCCAGATTCGGGTCCGGGGTTCGAGTTTCGGGTCCCGGGTTCGAGTGTTGGAATCGGACGGGGATCCTGGGGAAGGTTGCGGGTTCGAGTAAGGCGCCAGCACCGGGTGCGAAAGGCGGGGAAGGTTGCGGGTTCGAGTCTTAAGGCGGGAACCGTAGCGCGGAATCGGACGGGGATCCTGGGGAAGGTTGTGGGTTCGAGTCTGGAAGCGGGAACCGTAGCGCGGCAACCGTAGCGCGGAATCGGACGGGGATTCTGGGGAAGGTTGCGGGTTCGAGTCTGGAAGCGGGAACCGTAGCGCGGAATCGGACGGGGATCCTGGGGAAGGTTGCGGGTTCGAGTAAGGCGCCGGCACCGGGTGCGAAAGGCGGGGAAGGTTGCGGGTTCGAGGCGTGAAGCGGGAACCGTAGCGCGGGAACCGTAGCGCGGAATCGGACGGGGATCCTGGGGAAGGTTGCGGGTTCGAGTCTGGAAGCGGGAACCGTAGCGCGGGAACCGTAGCGCGGAATCGGACGGGGATCCTGGGGAAGGTTGCGGGTTCGAGTAAGGCGCCGGCACCGGGTGCGAATGGCGGGGTAGGTTGCGGGTTCGAGTCTTGAGGCGGGAACCGTAGCGCGGAATCGGACGGGGATCCTGGGGAAGGTTGCGGGTTCGAGTAAGGCGCCAGCACCGGGTGCGAAAGGCGGGGAAGGTTGCGGGTTCGAGGCGTGAAGCGGGAACCGTAGCGCGGGAAGCGGGTTCGAGTCACAGGACCCAGATTCGGGTCCGGGGTTCGAGTTTCGGGTCCCGGGTTCGAGTGTTGGAATCGGACGGGGATCCTGGGGAAGGTTGCGGGTTCGAGTCTCCCGCCCGGCGGGAAGCTTAGCATGGGAACCGTAGCGCGGGAAGCGGGTTCGAGTCACAGGACCCAGATTCGGGTCCCGGGTTCAAGTTTCGGGTCTTGGGTCCCACATAGGCTTCTCCCTGGGGAAGGTTGCGGGTTCGAGTCCCCCTCTGCTTGGGAATCGTAGCGCAGGAACCGGGTTCGAGTTTCCAGTCCTGGGTTCGGGTTTTGGGTCCCGGGTTCGAGTTTCAGGTTCTGGGTTGGAATTTCGGGTTTGAGTTTTGAGTCCCGGGTTTGAGTTTCAGCTTCAGGTCCCGGGTTTGAGTTTCAAGTCCTGGGTTTGAGTTTTGAGTCCCGGGTTTGAGTTTCAGCTTCAGGTCCCGGGTTCGAGATTCCATTCCCGGGTTCGGGTTTTGGGTCCCGGGTTTGAGTTTCAGGTTCAGGTCCCAATGGGCGATCCTTGGGAAGGTTGTGGGTTCGAGTCCCCCTCTGCTTGGGAATCTTAGCGCAGGAACCGGGTTCGAGTTTCAGGTTCTGGGTTGGGATTTCGGGTTTGAGTTTTGAGTCCCGGGTTTGAGTTTCAGCTTCAGGTCCCGGGTTCGAGTTTCCGGTCCTGGTTTCGGGTTTTGGGTCCCGGGTTCGAGTTTCAAGTTATGGGTTTGAGTTTTGAGTCCTGGGTTTGTGTTTCAGCTTCAGGTCCCGGGTTCGGGTTTCCGGTTGCGGGTTGGAATTTCGGGTTTGAGTTTCTAGTCCCGGGTTCGAGTTTCCGGTCCCGGGTTCGGGTTTTGGGTCCCGGGTTTGAGTTTCAGGTTCAGGTCCCAATGGGCGATCCTTGGGAAGGTTGCGGGTTCGAGTCCCCCTCTGCTTGGGAATCTTAGCGCAGGAACCGGGTTCGAGTTTCAGGTTCTGGGTTGGGATTTCGGGTTTGAGTTTGGAGTCCCGGGTTCGAGTTTCAAGTTCTGAGTTTGAGTTTTGAGTCCTGGGTTTCAGTTTCAGCTTCAGGTCCCGGGTTCGAGTTTTGGGTCCCGGGTTCGAGTTTCAGGTTCTGGGTTTGAATTTTGAGTCCTGGGTTTGAGTTTCACCTTCAGGTCCCGGGTTCAAGTTTCCAGTCCTGGGTTCGGGTTTTGGGTCCCGGGTCTGAGTTTCAGGTTCAGGTCCCAATGGGCGATCCTTGGGAAGGTTGCGGGTTCGAGTCTCAAACTCGAACCTGATTTGGGCTGGGAATCGGGTGCGAAAACCAGTTCTGCATTGGGATTCAAGGGGAAGGTTGCGGGTTCGAGTCTCCGGCTGGAAGCAATTTGGGCTGGGAATCGGGTAGGAAAAGCAACCTGCCCTAGAAATCCAATGAAGACCAATGGGAAGGTTGCGGGTTCGAGTACTGGGTTCAAATTTGGGAACCTTAGCGCTGCGGCTTCGAACTTCCCACTTGAACCCCAAAATGAGGCTGGGAACCGGGTGCAAAAAGAGTCGGGATTCGACGGGGAGCCAGGGGAAGGTTGCGGGTTCGAGTCTCCCGCCCCACGTCCTGCCAATCAGAGAACCCTGGTTGCCCCATCCCTGTCAATCATTCTGAGATCTAGGGGGTGGGACTAGACAACCCCGGTTGGCCCAGACCTGTCAATCATTCTGTCGTTCAAATCAAGGACCTGTCACTCATTCTGGGATCCAGGGGGTGGGACCAGAGAACCCCGGTTGCCCCGACCCTGTCAATCATCCTGTCTTTCAAATGGATCACCTGCCAATCAAATCACCTGCCCATCAAATGGATCACCTGTCATTCCAATGGATCACCTGCCAATCAAATCACCTGCCAATGTCATTGATCACCTGTCAATCGTTCTGCGGTCCAGGGGGCGGGACCAGAGAACCCCGGTTGCCCCGACCCTGTCAATCATCCTGTCTTTCAAATGGATCACCTGCCAATCAAATCACCTGCCCATCAAATGGATCACCTGTCATTCCAATGGATCACCTGCCAATCAAATCACCTGCCAATGTCATTGATCACCTGTCAATCGTTCTGCGATCCAGACAACCCCGGTTGCCCCATCCCTGTCAATCATCCCGGGTTCAATCCGACAACCCTGTTTGCCTGTCAATCATCCCAGCATCCATCCAGCCCTGGTTGCCCCGGGAACCGTAGCGCCCTGTCAATCATTCTGAGGGCAGCCAATCCTGGTTCTCCCGGGAACCGTAGCGCACTGTCAATCATCCTGGGACCAGACGACCTGTCAATCATCCCGGGTTCGACTTGACAACCCTGGTTGCCTGTCAATCATCCCGGCGCCCAGCCAACCCTGGTTCTCCCGGGAACCGTAGCGCACTGTCAATCATCCTGGGACCAGACGACCTGTCATTCATCCCGGGTTCGACTTGACAACCCTGGTTGCCTGTCAATCATCCCGGCGCCCAGCCAACCCTGGTTCTCCTGGGAACCGTAGCGCTCTGTCAATCATCCTGGCGCCAGATGATCCTGGTTGTCCCGGGAACTGTAGTGCCTGTCAATCATCCTGGCGCCAGATGACCCTGGTTCTCCCGGGAACCGTAGCGCCTGTCAATCATCCCGGCACCCAGCCAACCCTGGTTCTCCCGGGAACCGTAGCGCCTGTCAATCCTCCTGGCACCCAGCCAAACCTGGTTCTCCCGGGAACCGTAGCGCCCTGTCAATCATCCCGGCGCCCAGCCAACCCTGGTTCTCCCGGGAACCGTAGCGCCTGTCAATCATTCTGAGGGCAGCCAAACCTGGTTCTCCTGGGAACCGTAGCGCCCTGTCAATCATTCGGAGGGCAGCCAACCCTGGTTCTCCCGGGAACCGTAGCGCCCTGTCAATCATTCTGACGGCAGCCAACCCTGGTTCTCCCGGGAACCGTAGCGCCCTGTCAATCATTCTGACGGCAGCCAACCCTGGTTCTCCCGGGAACCGTAGCGCCTGTCAATCCTCCTGGCACCCAGCCAAACCTGGTTCTCCCGGGAACCGTAGCGCCCTGTCAATCATCCCGGCGCCCAGCCAACCCTGGTTCTCCCGGGAACCGTAGCGCCTGTCAATCATTCTGAGGGCAGCCAAACCTGGTTCTCCTGGGAACCGTAGCGCCCTGTCAATCATTCGGAGGGCAGCCAACCCTGGTTCTCCCGGGAACCGTAGCGCCCTGTCAATCATTCGGAGGGCAGCCAACCCTGGTTCTCCCGGGAACCGTAGCGCCCTGTCAATCATCCTGTGATCCAGAAAACCCTGGTTCTCCCGGGAACTGTAGCGCCTGCCAATCACCCCAGCACCCAGCCAACCCTGGTTCTCCTGGGAACCGTAGCGCTCTGTCAATCATCCTGGCGCCAGATGATCCTGGTTGTCCCGGGAACTGTAGTGCCTGTCAATCATCCTGGCGCCAGATGACCCTGGTTCTCCCGGGAACCGTAGCGCCTGTCAATCATCCCGGCACCCAGCCAACCCTGGTTCTCCTGGGAACCGTAGCGCCTGTCAATCATCCCGGCGCCCAGCCAACCCTGGTTGCCTCGGGAACCGTAGCGCCTGTCAATCACCCGGCAACCAGCCAACCCTGGTTCTCCCGGGAACCGTAGCACCCTGTCAATCATTCTGAGGGCAGCCAACCCTGGTTCTCCTGGGAACTGTAGCGCCCTGTCAATCATTCGGAGGGCAGCCAACCCTGGTTCTCCCGGGAACCGTAGCGCCCTGTCAATCATTCTGACGGCAGCCAACCCTGGTTCTCCCGGGAACCGTAGCGCCCTGTCAATCATCCTGTGATCCAGAAAACCCTGGTTCTCCCGGGAACTGTAGCGCCTGCCAATCACCCCCGCACCCAGCCAACCCTGGTTCTCCCGGGAACCGTAGCGCCTGTCAATCATCCTGGCGACAGATGACCCTGGTTCTCCTGGGAACCGTAGCGCCCTGTCAATCATTCTGAGGGCAGCCAACCCTGGTTCTCCCGGGAACCGTAGCGCCTGTCAATCATCCCGGCACCCAGCCAACCCTGGTTGTCCCGGGAACCGTAGCGCACTGTCAATCACCCCGGGTTCGACTTGACAACCCTGGTGGCCTGTCAATCATCCCGGCACCCAGCCAACCCTGGTTGCCTCGGGAACCGTAGCGCCTGTCAATCACCCGGCACCCAGCCAACCCTGGTTCTCCCGGGAACCGTAGCGCCTGTCAATCACCCGGCACCCAGCCAACCCTGGTTCTCCCGGGAACCATAGCGCACTGTCAATCATCCCAGGTTCGACTTGACAACCCTGGTTGCCTGTCAATCATCCCGGCACCCAGCCAACCCTGGTTCTCCCGGGAACCGTAGCGCCTGTCAATCATCCTGGCACCCAGCCAACCCTGGTTCTCCCGGGAACCATAGCGCCTGTCAATCATCCCGGCACCCAGCCAACCCTGGTTCTCCCGGGAACCGTAGCACTCTGTCAATCATCCTGGCGCCAGATGACCCTGGTTGTCCCAGGAACCGTAGCGCCCTGTCAATCATTCTCCGCGCGCAATGGGACCGGGATCCCGGGGAAGGCTGCGGGTTCGAGCGGGAATTCTAGCGCGGGAAACGTAGCGCGGCGCCGTTTCCTGTCCCGGCACCCAGCCAACCCTGGTTGTCCCGGGAACCGTAGCGCCCTGTCAATCATTCTGAGCGTGCAATTGGACAGGGATCCCGGGGAAGGCTGCGGGTTCGAGCGGGAATTCTAGCGCGGGAAACGTAGCGCGGCGCCGTTTTTCCCGCAGTGGCGCCGCTGGAGGAGTGCGCCTGCCCCGAGCCGCTGGCCAAGGGGACGCTGGTGGCCATGTTGGCGGTCCTGGCCTTTC